TATATATACATATTTTTTATCTTGGTTGCATAATAGGAGGCAACCATCTTTCATCCCTTATCCCATCTCACCCGCATGCCATGTGATTTAAAGTCAAGATCTCTTACTTCCAACAAAAGGAGATGACTACTGAGCTACTTAAGCCATTAGCACATATAAATATTAAAGTATCATTTAGTTAGATAAGTGAAAATTTCAATATGCAAGGTCAAATGGTATGTAATTCAAACTTATTTAGGTTTTAAGTTGCATTTTATAATCTTTCTCCCATGAGAATAGAGAAGAACAAACTCGTGCTTGTTGTAATTCTTTATAGAAAGAGGGGCAATGATACAAGGAAAATTTTTTATATTATCTTTTTATATAATTTTTATATGTTATTAAATAAATAGATGCATTCAATATCATAGACCTAAATGAATAAAAAGAGCTGGTCATTTAAATAACACATAATGTTATACAAAAAATGATATAAAACAGTTGTCATTAAAATATTTTCCTAAAAAGAATATTAGTATATCAATATCTTGTTTGGAATAAATTCTTATGGGTTTACATGGACGAATGAGAGGATAAAATTATGATGATTGATTTTTTTATTTAAGATAAAACAATTCAGGTTTGTGTTTTCTATTTTATCAAATAGAAATTTGGATCGTTGGCCAAAAAAAAAAAAAAATTAGAAATTTGGATTAAGATGGTGGCTTGTTGAATGGTATGCAATCTAACTTTCGAAATTTAAAAGGTAAATTGCTATATCATACTGAAAGGTTATAGGTTTTTTAAAAACTTTCGAGATTGTGGAGTCTTTCAAACTTCAAAATTATTGATAAATTCTTCAATTTAAAAATTCATATATTCTCGGCCTAAAGTTCTACTTCTATTTGAATTCAATAGGATTCCGTTAACTGAGAACAAAACAAAATTACAATGAAAACAGTCTGAAGTTTTTTTTTTTTTTTTCCTTGGTTTTGGAATACATCTAATAGGCTCACATTGCGGTGTTTGGGTATATTTGTTGGAATGAAAATTAGGTATTTTTGCCCATTTATTTGGGCTTTAAAAGACAGGAAATTGGGTAGTTGTAGAATGGAATTTTAGCCCACTTAATTTGGGCTTTAGGAGACATGGGTTAGGTGTTTTGGAGGAATTTTTGTGTACCTAATTTTCAATTTAGCAGAGAAAACAGCTCATAGAGTCA